CCCGCGCTCACCGCGCTCACGCCTCGCCGGCCTCGCCCCGCGCCTCCCCGCGCTCCCGCCTTCCTCGCCGCGCACCCCTCCCTCACGCACCTCCACCTCCCCGACTACGCGCACCCCCTCGCCCTCCCCGCCGCCGCGCTCCCGCGCCTCGCGTCCTTCCGCGGCCCCGCGCCCGCCGCCGCGTCGCTCCTCCCCGCACGCAGCGTGCGCAGCCTCGCGCTGACGAGCGCCCCGCGCGCGCGCGAGCTCGCCGCGCTCGCCGCCGGGAAACGCCCGCTCGCGGAGCTCGACCTCGGCGGCGTGAGCGTCACGCCCGTGCTCCTGCGCGACGTCTCCCGCGCGCTCACGCGCGTGCGCGTCCTGCGCGTGCGCCTCGCGCTGCGGCACACGCTGCACTTTGCGCTCAGCGGGATCGTAAGTGCCCTCCCCTTCCCGGCCCTCCACGCTCACGTCGCTCCCCGAACCACACAGGCGCTCCTCGCCGCGCTCACCCCCGTCCTCGGCGCGTTCCCGCTGCTCATCGAGCTCGATCTGTCCCCGACGGACGTCGTCGGCCGCGCGCAGCCCGCCGAGGAGCACTCCCTCTGCGCGACCTACGCGCGCGCGTGCCCCGCCCTCGCGCGCGTCGTCTTCCCCAGCAAGATGGAGTGGTTGTTCCTCAGCAAGGAGGAGATCTGGGTCAGCAAGTATCTGTAGCGTCGGGTGGGTCCGAGTCGGTTGTATGTTATTGAGATGATGGCTGTCACAAGCAATTTATGGCCGTTGCTTGTCATTCCGTTTCCTCCGTAAATACATTCAGAACCCAGTGCGACGCGTAAGCGATGACCTAACTAAATAAACTAACTAGTGCACCCCATCGAGAGGTCACTTTTGATCTATCGTAGAAAATACCGGTACAGTCCACAGTGTGAGGAAACGCCCGTAAAGTAGAACTTAGCTGTGATTGAGTCAGGGAAGGGGGGGAGTGTGTCTTCGGGTATACCGGAACCGGAACTGATACATAAAGAACAGGTTACCAGACGTTGATTGATAAATTACGCGCCGTCCGCCTCGTCCACAAATATGTCCGCATAGTGCTCCAATATGGTCTCAATAGCCTAAGAAGAGTACACTGAGCACCGGGACAGAAGCAAGGGAAGGAACAAGCGCACCTTGTTCTGCCACGACGCATCCGCCATCTGGCCACTGGCGTTCTGCCCAAACAGCGTCGGCCCGAACACGATCGCCAGGTTCGACACCGACATCTGGTTAACCGTCTCGTACTCCACTATCCTGCTCGCCCCACCGGACGTCAGCGTGCATGCAAAGAGTGGAATTGCGGTGAGAGACGGACCTGTGCAAATGCCCCATGAGATATTTCAGTGTCGCATAGTTCGCGTCGGGTAGGTCGTTCACGCGCTCGTGCAGCCGGATATGCCTCAACCTGTCATTCTCGATTTCTGGTACAAAGATTCATGAATATTTAGTTTACTCTGCTAAAGAGACGGGGTACTCACTAGCGGCATCAATGAACCCTTGATGCAACTCCTGCGTGAACAGCGGATCCGGCAGCTCTCGCAGCCACAGCTTCAGCACGCTCGTCACATTATTGATATCCGAGGACCACTCCTCCGCATCCAAATTGACCGAATCCAAATCTCCCACCACCCTCAGCCTCAGCGCCCAGCATATCGACAAAACGCACAGCACGCACCTTTATCCAGCTTTTCCTTTAGCCTGTTCACTTTCGTCACCGTCCCACTGATCCTGTAGATCCCCTGCGAGCGCAGCCCGTACTTCTCGATCGCCTCGCAGCATTTCTCCATGATCGGTGGAACCTCGACGTTGTCTCGCGCCATCTGCTCCGCGAGGTCCACGCCAAACGTCGGCCGGCCCCGGTCGTGCACCGCCGAGGTCGACGCGCCGGGGGAGCTGCCGCTCGTGTACCCGGACTGGAGCTGTTGCTGTTGGTTTGAGCGGTCACCTAGATTCAATAGCGGGGGCACCTGAGAAGCAAGGTGGGCAAGTCAAAATTGGGGCGATACAGATTGCACCGGGTGGTGGAGACGTACGAAGCCCTGCTCGGCAGGTCCTTCTCGCCGGGGACCGCGATAGTTCGCTCCTCCGTGTGCGTACGCATAGTTTTGCATGTACACCTTGAAATCGGAGCGATTGTCAATGGTCTCGATGGTCCCTTTCAGTCCTGGACCTGCCATAAGAACAGTCAGGGAATTAACGACTTCGTCACGAATACCCAGACGCACCATCTTCGATACCAATGGGCGACAGGGTAGTCCCATCCCCAAGCACCACCGTCTCGAATATGAAGGCGTATCGTGACAAGTGATACTGCGTCCCTAGGTCTATTTCGTCGTTGCATTCTTTCAAAGCCTATATACAACAAGTGAACCCTGAATTGATTCAGCGCTTCGAGCCAGAGAGGAGATGCATGTACGGACTCGCAATATCCTGGGCAGTTGGAAGTTGAAGTATTCTTGGCGGATAGTCTGGGTCTCCGTGACGGCTTTGCGGTAAGTGTCGGAGGCTTGTGACATCCGCGCCCGGACATCGTCTTCTTGCCGTGCCAACTAAGAGGATATCAGATACCATGGGCATGGTCGCGGCAGAAGACTATATGTATGCATACGTTTCCTGGGTTCTTGCCTTTCAGCAGCAAGCCACCCTTTGCAGCTACCTTGCCGATCACGCGTTTTCCTCCACCGCCCGGCGATCGCAGTTGGACGGCGTTCTCCTTGAAAGACTCACCCTCCTTTTGCAAGAGAAGCCTCTCTAATTCTTCCGCGGTCATGTCGAAGCGGCTCTTGCTCTTCTCAGTTATCGACTCTGAGTCTTGCAGGGCACGCTCGTATCTACTGGCCAAGTCTTTGGTCTGGGGTGCTTCAGAACACCGACGCGTGGAGTGAATGAAGGAAGGAATGCGCACCTGTTTCCGGTTCTTGTCCACTTCCTTTATTAGATTCAGCAGTTCTTCGCTCATTTCGTTCAGCCGCTGCGCAAACTTAAGTCTATTTTCAGCCAGAACTTCATGAATCTTCATGGACATTTGCCATGCATGGACGAATGACCTATACCCGGCTTAGCAGTCATTAGCATGATAGCGGAAAGTACGCTTACCCCGCCTTTGCATCAGCAGTTGCATACACGTCAGAGGATGTTCTTGCTAGTTTCTGCATATTCCTCCCATACTCTTCCTCTATGGCCGCTCGCTTCCGCAGAAATGTGGCCGCTTCCTAGCCGAATATTATTTATTCATGCCGAGCTTCAGAACAAGGCCGTAAAGGTACTAACTTTACATGACACCATGCTTTGCTTTATTCGGTCTAATAGCAACGGCACTGAACACTACACAACCAGCATGAGTGAGGTCTATGCCATCCTCATTCCAGTGCATATATCTTACATCTAAGTCGCACAGCGCTCTAAGGATATTCTCATCAAAGTTCGGCTCGACAATGCTTGGTGCTGCTTCGGTAGGCAGGGTCGAGTAGGTATCTCGCCTTTCGAGCGTAACCTGCGCGCTCTCCCTCCACTTCGTCGTTGACGACCAGCCATGCGATTCAGAGCTCGACCTCGGGGCAGGCGACGTCGGTTTGGTCGGTGGTAATGGGATACTGCTGGACGACCCTTCGGCTGTTAAGGAGTCCCGAGACAGCGACCGGTGGTGAGCTTCAGACAGCGAGCCACCATAAGGATACCGAGTAGGAGAGTGCGGCGAACCAGGATTGTGATGTTCGTAGTCGCTGCCGGGGACGTTCGCCCAGGCAGCTGCTCCCCCGTCGTCCGACATGGCTGTGGCAGGACCTCTCGAGCTTCAGAGGAAGCCGGACACGGGAGACCGCTTCGCGACGGCAGGCCGTGGGAATTTGGTACGTAGCGCATGTCCTCGGGTTCGAATCCGAGTGGAGGCGCATCCTCGAGCTCTCGGTCGACAATCACATCAAGACACTTGTGGCAAATCTTCCTTCATGATGAAGGAGCGACGGATTACTATCCACTATTATGTGAGGCACTAAGATGTATATGGAGTCAAGGGTATACGTCTCCCGATATCACGTTTGTTCACAATTGTACAACCTGGCACAATCCCAGGTAACCGTGACATGGCGTTAGAGGTGCGTGATTATATTTTACTATTCGTGCTTCACGTCGAGTCAACAGTGTCGCATAGATTCGTGTAAAATTGATGATCGTAGGACTGCTCCAATGAGTGGGACACAGCCGCATATGCGCTAGAGGGACTTTACCCCTGCTGATCCACATCAAGTCACCTCCCTCTGGCTATTTAGCTGGAATACAGGGGACGGTCGTGCCCTGCATCTGAGGGATGTATAGGCCCCATCTCGGTGGAAATTATAAACCATATATTTACGATTGAAACCCGTGTGTTTAGAGAGTCTATAGACCATCACTGCTTTGACCCAAGATTTGCATCCTCAAGAATATGTCTAGCGTTGTCTATCCAAAGACTTGACGCGGTGAAGATGTAGTTTCTTATAGCTGCGTACGTCCATGGCAGACTTGAGTGTGCTAATACGAGAGCTGACCCTAGACGCACTGACTTCTGGGCACCAAGTTCATTGACTCCATCTGACTGCAAATGCGAAGTTGGGGCGGTCTGATTATGTAGATGACAGAAAAAGGCGGATGAGATCAGACCGGCACGGCCGCAATGCTGTTAGCTCAGAATGCCCGAGCAACAGGAAGCTGTCCCAACGAGTCCCGGGACGTCAATAGCGACACTGTCAGCAGGTAGGCATCATGCATCATGGGTCAACTGTACCGTCCTCTAGTGAGTGCCCAACTACACGCTTCCGACGCGAGCCAGTTCGGTAGTCAGGCGGCTCCATTACAACCTTCGTATGAGAAGATTCTGCCTAGGGTGATGCGAAGTGCCGTCTAGCCGACATTAATAGCAAGTTACCTAGCCGAGGCCATAACTTGGTCGTCTGTGATCACTGCTGCACGAATTGAAGGCCCTAACAGCCCTGGAATGCGGGCAGCGTGGTGTTACAATGAATATCACTTCGCCAAACTCGACCTGCAACCGCCCGCTGGAGTTCGTGGTATTGCATGGAGTGAGCATTCCAGCCGTTTGCAGATCGATAGGCCACTTTCGAAAGTCGCATACAGTCGGAGTGCGTCGGAGATGGCGCCAGGGACGTTGGAAGACTGAAAAGAAGTCCAGATGGTCTGATTTGGGTACTTCGTGGACTTGAATTCCCTTCTCCGACATAGTCCGACTGAGTGTGATTTTTCTCAAAGTGGACCTAAGTATCGAACTGCAAATGGCTGTCAACGGTGATAGCATTGATACTTCCGGGAATGAACGGAGCAATGAGAGACCGAGTAGTAGAATCTCTGTCATATGTCAGAGGTTCCGGTGGTCGATTACATGAAGCTTCGTTGATTCGGTGCCTTCTTGCCCATTGAGTTAGCGACGTTTCATGGTTAGGGTTTCATTGCCAGATCTTCGAGGCCGACGCTTTGGCCCGGGACATCTATCTATAACAGAGCTATAAGCATTGGCAGAGTTATTGACTCTGTCTAGAAAACATAGTGATGTTATGGTTGAGGATGCTCACACATCCACATGACGCCGGCGGAATGCAGATACTTCACGCCGGTCGTAGGGGGTCATGGACATAGCACAAGCTGCCGCTTCTACTTGCTGGCACTCCCGTACCTATGGAGTCCTGCTACATAATGATGACCAGGCACCTCGGGCGATGGATGCCCCCCGGCCTTCTTTATGCGGATCGTGATCGCGGCTTTGGAAATACGGCGCCCCTCTTTTCGCTCCTTCAAGAGACCAGCACCGGTCATACGATGAATACTGTTCAACGCACATATTCATGACCATCTTGTAAGAGTGTCCAACTGCACGCTGCAACGAACCATGCAGAATAGTTAACAACCGGTCGTTAGGGGTGAGGAAGTCTCACCCGGACTGCATCCTGCATCGGGGCATAGCGCTGAGTAGCCGACGTGATGCCTATCGGTGCCTCGTTCTTCATACAATCAGACGTCGGTGATTGGAAGGCCCGAGACTAGGGTCAGAAAATAGTCAGTATCTCACTGCGGTTTAGACCACGGGTTAATACTTCGGTCATCGGAAGCATACGCACCAGCAAATGTGCGAACACAACATAAGGCATACCCGTGGAACATGCTCCCACCTAACGTCCAGCAAGTTTCCGGCTGCTTCCCGCGTCCCATCCGACGACTGCGACAAGTCCCTGTTGTGGCGTCTTGCGGAAAGCAGCGGTGGCCGAACCCAGCCGGCTTTCCACTCGAACTTTTAAGAATGAACGATTTCGACCTCGATCGCGATTGATGACAGCCCGGACGTGGCAACCATTTAGGGAGAATAGTACCGTCATTACTCCCCTCGCAGGCAAGGAATGATATCTCTCTCCGCACCATGGACACATGTAGCGTCAGTGGGAATGAGCGTGGATGTCGTCAGAAAACGAAAAAAGCATAGTAATGGTCGGGCTTGCGTAGCGTCTTCCATGGACGATGAGAGACATCGTGAAGTGACCAGACCCGAGTGCTGATAAAGCTGCTCACAATACTTCTGGGCGTTGAGCTCGACGCTGCCGTTGGTTGAAAGACAGTCACAAAATGCCAAGGGCGGTGACCAAGCGGGCGGTATAATCAAAGACAGAACGGCGTTTGCCCCTCCGTGGTGATATGCAGAATTTAGAGGATATGCGGTCTCGCGTCTTCAATAGTATGCCCGTTTTTGGGAGCAGAGAGGGAGTTCTGGAGGACAGCTGGGCGTGTGGCATCCAGGCGCGTGAGTGCAGGTAAACTCAAAGTTAGTTTGGCAGATATTCGCAGCGCGGAGTGCAAAGAAGGACGCAGAAAGAATGCCAGAAGAAGAATGCTAGTGCCATCGTGAACGATGCGGCCCATATCCGTCGATTTTGCCGAGCCATCTGTATGGCGCGGAAGAACCTGCAGCGACGAATACAAACGAGAATAATTTCTCTCGTTAATTATACGAAATATACTCACCTATTTCTATTTCCACTTGAAACGTGCGGAGTCCGGAACTCCCCTCAGATACGGCGCCTTCAGGCGGTGATTTTTCTCCAGAAGATTCGGACCAACGGTCCCCTTTCTCCGGTGAACGTGTTAACTGGACCGATGACAAGAGGGTAGCCCATCACCACCAGATAGCGTTGGGGAGTCGCGACTCACGACTCTAGTGAGAATCTGCCAATTCCCCTGGTCAGCGCCGCTCTGCGGAAAAAAACAGACATTCCTATCGGATTTTGGCCGTTAGTCAACACAAAGCGTGCTGGCAGCTGGCTAGAAAGCGGACATCCAGACATCATACCTCCAAGGGAAATGGTGCGAAAAATGTACTGCGAGGAAGCTGAAGTACGTGCCAAGATGTACAACTTGGGCCCCAGGACCGTACGTGCGCGGCGAGACAGAATTATGCTTGTGACTGCCGTGAATATTGTCATACAATGACGCTGGGATCTGCAGAGGTCAAGGGTAACCTCTGAGGAAGGTGAGTGAGGGATATGTTTGGGCGGCCCCAACTATTTTGCCCGGGTTCCAAGATCCACAGATTCTCGCCCTCAAAAGTTCGTGGAGCTCCAGTTTTTCACGAGGCTGTCACCAGGTGCGCACTGAAACAGCTGTATGTTGGTCACTTGAATCATCCAACAGTTGTGATACAGACGCATACAATCCTACCGGAAGACATCCGGGGAGTCAGCTCGGACATATTGAAGGCCACTAACGTGCCATTGTCATACCTCCAGGTGACCAGTACCCGCACCGACTCCGGATCCTGAAATATTACGAAGACTTCGTAAGTACGCCGATACAAGCGAAGACCGCCGATGCCCAGCCACGCAGAATATACGTTACAGCTGAGTTCGCTGTGTTTTCGAGACTATATCCCTGCTCCATCGTAGAACGGAACGTTCGAGTTGAATGTTAACCCTTCTTGTTTGTTCAGTGCAGCCTCTGAACTTGGAATGAGAAGCGAAGAACGCTCCACCGACAGCGCGGTCACGTGAGCTTAATAGCGACACCCTCCAGTGGACGTGAAATACATATTCAACGCATCGAACCTAGAGGCTGCCGGGAGGGAACAATTATGGCACCAGCACGCGATCAATCCTCCCGTAACACTGTTCACATCGTTTTTTGGGGGTCTCCAGTGCGTGCTACTGATCACTGCGAGTCTGCTCGACCCCTCAAATCAGATGAAATATAATTATTACGGGTGCTTTACGGAAGTGGTCGCTAGGCTTATTTTATGTGGCCCGCCTCTTGCCACGGGACCTATTTTCTTGAGCTTGTCATATCCTGGCGCAGTACAAGCTTAGGAATCACTGGCAACAAGAGTCATTCCGAATTAGCCGCACCAAAGATAGCATGAACCAGACAAGCTCCTACATTCCATGACCATGTCTCGCCATATCTAACATGTCCTGAGAATAGCATATTAAACGTCACGTAGAAAGTAAGAACGGAGCTGCAGCTTCCTGTAACTCTCATGCCAGGTGCCGCTCCGGTGGTCATACGTATCACCTCGACCCCGCGATCTGGGACGAGACCGCCTCTCGCAGATCTGCCTTATCTTGAACAGGCTGCACACGCCTTTTGGCCTCGTGTGAGTGACGATATTGGCACAGAGCGGAAGGTGTCATTCGTCTGTATTGATATGGTAGGCTCGGAGGCTCGAAAACAATTAAATAGCTTGCCTTGTGGACAGGTATGGTCCATATCGGACCATCTCTGTGTGAACACGCAAAGATACTTCATTAGACTGACTGGCGAGAAGGAGATCCTTTGCCATCGCACACCCTCACCCGCCGTCGAACCAGCTCTAGTGAGAGGCAGCTCGGGACAGTGATCGGATTGATCTCCGAAACCATGCTCGAGCCTTATCTGTGCCGTCTTATACCACCCTGGACGCACATGTGGTCGCGTCGATGATGGATTCGTCACTGGCATTTTCGAGAATCTAGGATAAACTTCTGCTATTTTCTTAAACGGGGACAGCGCTCGTGTGCACCATTTAGTGTTGCACCCGGCCTGGCTCTAAGCCCGAGCCAAGCCAGGCCAGGCCCTATCTCAGCGGGCCCGAGCCAGGCCAAAGCCCTGCTCAGGCCCGAGGACAGGGCCTGGCCTAGCGTCTCAAACTGGTGTTTGCTCACCTGCGTGCAAGCCCTGAGCCCGAGCCAGGCCCGAGCCAGGCCAAAGTCCGACGGCATGGCCTGGGTTGCCTTCCTGACAAGCCCGAGCCCTATGAAGCCAGGCCGAAGCCCAGGGCTTCGAGCCAGGCCAGGCCGTAGCACCACTAATGGGCCACGACGCACCGTGGCTGCCAGTGGGCAGGATGACCGGTGCTGCAAGCCTGATGGTGGAGGGAGCGTTCATCCCTATGAAGTCGAGACTTCAGTACGTGTATGATTGCATTTTGTGGCCAAAGAGGAAACCGCTGAGCTTACCTTCTGCTTCTCCGTCAACTCGAAGCGCGAATGAGCTCACGTTGTCCGCTCAAGCCTATTCCGAAGTGCTCATGATTGTCACCACAAGTGTTGGCCTGATCTGGAGACATTCCCTAGCTATAAAGAGCAGTGCGCATATTCTGAGTCTCTCGCAGTAAGTATAAGGGGCCTAGACAAAAACGTCCCAGAATTTACGGTTGGATGGTAAAGTTTGTACACACTTGTCCGGCCATAGCACGAGGAGCCCATGAGGGCGCATTTGGGATCATCACCGTATGACCGTTGAAGCTGTCGGTTCTCATTCCCTCCAACCCACTCATACTAGTAGGCAACGTTGCGCTTTCAGTTAGTGGTAGCTACGATCCTTCTTAGGGACAAGAGCACTTACGGCGTGACGTCGCGATCCAGAAGTAGAATCCTGTTCGAGCCGTACATGTTCCGGGAGATCTTTGCATCGGAGATTGTGATTTTGGCACTGAAATTGATTTTGCACTACATAAACAACATAAACAGCGAGATCCTTGTCTTGCGTGGGTTTTGCTGGCTGTGTTGTGCCAGTGCCTAAATTCAGTGCCTCGGGTAAGCTTATTTTCTGTCCGATGTCACAGGAGCTACCTATCTGTAGGAGACCCGCGATCCTGGATCCTCGCTGCAGACATCCCCTGAATATAATCTGACGATCTGGTGGGAACAGCGTCGAATCGAAACCCTATCTGCGCCATGCTATCGTTTAGTTTCGGATTGTCATTTGACATCCCGTCGCAGCTGCAACTCGTACATAGGGTTTCTATAACTGCGCTTCTGACATGGTAGTCACCACTCAGGCAGTATTAGGGCCCACCCCGAGGGGATAACCGGCACTTCTTATGCGTTTCTGCGCGGTGGCCTTCAATTATCGCTGCTGGCCGCCAAGTCAAAGTCTCGGTGAGGCCACAGGCAGTGTTCACGTTCAAGATTAAGTACCGACATGAAGCGACTCTCATGACCTCTTTGGCTATCCGGATGTCGTCCACAGTACTTGCCGGAATGAACTCGCGACTAATCAGCGATTCATCGATCCGGCTTACTTGCTCCAGCCTATGGGAGGTCATAGATGTCGTCGCTCCTTCCGCTGCAAGGAACCAGCCGCCGGAAACGCCGGACACCATAGAAGGAGGACATGCAAGTTATAAGGATAACTCGCCGAACCAGAAGGTGCAGATACGACTTCCCGGCCTATTTGTCCTCGCCGCCGCTCCACTGAATCAGTTGTCATCGGATAATGTGCTATAACATCATAACGTACGTGCACTATAGTTGCGGCCACAGAGTGAACACTGGCTACCATAGAGTGAGTTCATACCATACGGATATGTCGGCTGCACTCACTACATATCACCTTAGATCGATTGCAATGGTCGCAACTGTAGCCTAAGCCAAATGCATCGGCGGGACGAGCACGACTGTCAGAGCACTTGTCGTCAGAAGTACGTTCAGCTCCAAGAATTTGAGAATATAGGGCTCACTATATTGCAAGCATGATGGCGGACCAGCACGTCATTATGGAGCAGAATCCCAATCCGTGCGATGCGTGCGCTGCAGGAATGCCCAATGGACATTGAGGGACTGGTGGACGATATCCTTGCACATTGATACCACCCAGGCCGTCTGTCACTATCATTACTTGGACTATACCTGTACCACGAGACGTCCCATGTGTGTTTTATCAGGGAAACCACTTGCTGACCTGCTTCCTCTCAGGCCGCTTTGCGCGGGAACGCACTCTAGAATTATCCCATCTCTACTAAAAACGTTGATTAAATTAGGCTTACAGATTCGTCCTAGCAGCACCTTTGCCTACGACATCTATCACGGAGCACTTGGTATAATAGCGGGCAATAGCCAGCCGTACTCTTTTGAGCCGCTGGACGGCATCTTTTGTGTCTCCCCCCTTCGTTGTCCTGGCCAACAGATTCAGGTAATCATCTACCCAGCCCTGTTCCACTCTCAAGTGGATTTCTTCCAACTTCTGCAAGAACAAGTGGATTGCCGCCGTCGTGAATAAAGGAGATTCTTCCGCGCCAGAAATTTTAGTGTCTAGCCAAGCTAAGGAAAAAGATGTATTTCGCTCTTACCATGCTGCAGAAGCTCCACAGAGTCGCAAAGTAGCAATGCCCACCACGACTTAGGGGCAACGTCTTGCCGGAACATATTCTCTAGATTGGTTGCAGCGTCATCGAAAATATTACGCATCAGATTATCGTGGAACTCCGCATATCGCACAGCAAAATTGAGCCGATGTACAAATATGCCTGGTGCCTCGGGTATGTTTGTTAGTCGTTTTAGCGAGGGGGCTATGTTTTTCACTAAGCAGACGAACTCCTCCGGTCCTATGAATAAATCAGCTGAGACGGAACGGAATCAGACGAAACGACGGACCGCCTGAGAGGTATTCTTCTAGAACCATGTCCACGCACCGCCCTAGTCCCGGCCAATCTTCGGCTTGAGCATAGCATTCCAGCGCCAGAACGTACGCCTTCAACTTCGCCAGCTCATCGGCGCCGATCTGATTATCGATCTGTTAAGGGGAACGGCAGCGAGGCAGTCGGAACATACTTTGTATATCAACCTCATGGCCGCCACCCTTTCGTAATCTTTGCACACTTGCATGAGCTCGTTGAGCCTCATCTCAATCCTTTCCGGTCTGGTCAAATTTTTTGACGTAGACGTAGTGGTGTCGGAAGAATCGTCACCCAACCCGTGCCATAGAGGCACTCGGATAAGAACTTCATCGGCCAGGCGCTTCCCGATATTGCCGCAGCTGCAAAGGTACGAGACGGTCCATCGCCAGAGTGTCGGATCAGAGCGCAGATATTCTGCGTATGAGAGAATGTAATATTCTGCGACTGATAACTCGGAGCTTAAAAACAAATCGAAATATCAGGACAGGCTCGTGGCAAGAATCTTTGCATCGCTCACTCTTCACTGCGTGTATTTGATAGATTCTCTAGTAATTCCAATACGACTGCCAAATGTGCTGCTAACCATGGATCGAGACGAGCTGAACAGGCTAACGCTTCCCGAGGTTGAGCGCGCATAAGCGCCACATGAATAGTGTCTTCTAGGTCCGTCGGGTCGGGTGGCATCTCATCCATTATTTCCACCACGAGCTCCCTGGAAGCTCGTGACAACCGATATCGAGCAATAAGGGAAAACACTCACGGTAATTCCGTTCTGTGCAATGTAGGCTGCACGAAGATGGCATAGACGGCACAGATCTCCTTCCAATCACCGTCAAGCTCTTTGCAAACATGTTTGATGACGTCGACTCGACCCTCCATGATACTCAGTATGTCACTAAATCGGTCCCACCAGTTTTCGAACCCGTCATCCCTTGCGTCGTCAGGTACTAAACCCATTTCAACGCGTAGAGCTCGTATTTTCTCCTTCCACCGAGGCGATGCACGCATAAATTCATGCAGAGACGTGTAGTCTCGTACCCGAGGGTGGGATTGCACAAGCGGAATCAGTTTCTGCGATAATTCCTGTAGGAAAGTCGAGGGATGCCGGGACAAACATTCTAAAAAGAATATAGATGCCTTCGTGAGGCCCCGTAGCACGGCACTGAGACATGATTAGATGGTAATAGAAGTGGTGAAAAGAATAGACAAACCGAGTAAGATACGGCCAGAACGTCTCGTCTTCCCAGGGTGAGTCTAAATTGCTAAGGTGGTCACCCTCTTCGGTAGAGGGCGCTATGTAATGCATATTGAGCCATTCCAGAAGGTCATCCCCGACAGGTAATCGTGCACTTGCGGGGCCTGGTGCGTATAACAACATTGCCAACGAGAGGCAGGTATAAAGACTGCGATAGTGCTCGGCGTCATATTGTAGTTCCTCGCCTCGAGGAGGATTCTGGGTTCCAATTAGCACGTCGTACGGCAGTATCATTCACGGATTTCCCTACGCAAGCGTCAAGCCACGACGCCTCAGCCACATTGACGAGATCAGTGCATTTCGCATGCATGGCATCTTGGAATCTGGGGTCCTCAATCCTATACGCAGTTTAGGAGAGATCCTCAGCCTGGAAAACGTGTCACAATCACGTACCAGTCATCAAGACTTTCCGCGGCAGCCTGCTTTCGCAGATCGGCGAGCAAGTCAAACACCAGACCCCCATCGGATATAAACTAGCTAACTTTCTCGTGTCTGGTAGTCGGCGGATGTACGTGAAGACTCACCTTGCGTCGTACAGCGTCTGGTGGGCGGTGCGGGTTCGCGAAATATACAGGAACTTCAGCCCAGCGAGACGACTCTCCCGCTTTCAGTGGTGTTTGCTATTGGGCTTGTCAGAGACGGCAATGAAAAAGGGTTAAGTACCAGACGCACGTTTGGTGCCACGAATATAGCAACAGAGTTGTCCCAAGCAGAGAACGTTGCGCCCAACGTCCGACCGGACTCGTCCAGCTCTTCCGAGTGGCCTTGCTCCATTAGCGGTGGAGCCAGGTATACCATGTTGTCCGGCATTGCGTGTTCGATGAAAAAGCCAGAAGTTAGAAGTAGCAGAGTGTGGTGCCCGCGAGCTGGATGGAACCTTGTGGCCGGAGACTTTGTAGTCTGAATCTAGTCGTGCCATGCTAACCGTGATAGAGGATTTCACACGGTTTGGAGTCACGTGGGCTCATTAGAGGCGCGTCCATTTTGAGATGGCTCAGCTAGAGAACGCGTTGCCGGGATTTCTGTGTCCTCGAAGTGAGGATGAAAGCATCTATTTGTGACATAATATGCTTGGTAACTGTTTGGGAGAGACAGCGACGAATATACGTGGCTTTGCCCGACTACTGCTGCTTTTCTCCCGGAATGTACTAATGCCCCTCCTTTGGGAGGGGTTCTGGCACCCTTGAATTGCATCGCACTTCGGGAGTTACACTCTTTTGGGCCTAGAAAAGGATTGTATGGTAGGGATATATGAAAGATTGGCTTTTGTAAATGATTTTGGGGCTCACAAAGGATAATCTTTGATGAGGATTTCGAAGCTTGTAATATATATTTTCAGCAGTATTATCTTTGTTGATACATTATAATTAAATCTTTTAGATTCCCTTCTGACACTGGAGGATTTGTAATCTTTAGGGCCAGGCGGAAGGTTGTACGAAAGAGAATTCCCAGCCAATCAGAGCCTGTGGAATTCCCTTTCATAAAACCTTCTGCCCAGCCCTAAAGATTACAAATCCTCCAGTGTCAGAAGGGAATCTAAAAGATTTAATTATAATGTATCAATAAAGATAGTACTGCTGAAAATATATATTACAAGCTTCGAAATCCTCAACAAAGATTATCCTTTGTGAGCCCCAAAATCATTTACAAAAGCCAATCTTTCATATATCCCTACCATACAATCTTTTGCTAGGCCCAAAAGAGTGTAACTCCCGAAGTGTCACACTTCTCGTCGCACCGGCAAACTCCGGCGTGCTATGTTTGGCTGTAAGATAAAACTATGATGTGAGACGGATGCCAGATGTCCAGGCAACAGACATGCACCATGGAGCATTCTTGGAGAGGGGGTAAGTATCTCTTAGACTATATAGGATACAACAGCACAGGACATTCTACCTGTCCCTAGATGGAGCTTGACTGGAAGAGAAGCGGGGAAAACTTGGGTCCCCTATATTACTAACAATATCCCTTGCATTATCTTACATGGTGGAAATGCTCTCCTTATGATGATTTGTTGACCTGGTGTAGCAGCCACAACATCTTGAACTTAGTGCAAGTTCTCAAGATCAATTTCTTGAACAAAGGAGGGGTAAGTTGCCGGCGCCAGACAGTGCTTCACGAGTTGTCATAGGTCTTGGTCATTTTAGTACAATGTACTATGCACAGTGCACACCTGTACCTACATGAGTATCTACTCTCTAGTGATGCGCCAGTACGGTGATAAGCCTCAGGATCGTCTGACCCCCGAACACGCGGATTCAGCACATCATACAAGCGCCCCGGAGCTTATTCGACACAGCGCTCGCACGCCTCTAGGCTTCTATGGGCTCTAAAAGACTTTTTCTATTTAGCTCCGGACTTCCCAACATCCTCGAGGCGTACTCGGACCCATTCCGCGATTTATCTCCGCGCACCAAAGCTCCGGAGTGACTTAACCAATGCGACTTCTAGCTGAATTAGCTCCGGGACCCGCGGACACTTCTATCGAGGGGCGTCTTCCTCATGCCCACCCTCCAGCACTTACTCCCCCTCGTTTCCGTCAAGATACCGAAGGTGCGGACGCATACGAGTCACCATAAGGTCAGCATCAGTCAGCAAACGGCCGGAGGTAATTAACACGTGACCGGCGTGTCGCATGGAGTGATGGGACCGCTTGGGTCAGGTGGCGAAGCGTCGAGGCGACCTATAGGGGCTGGAAAGAGCAAGTGGGAGCGCAAGAGAGTCGTATGGTATATGGTATAGCGGAGGAAAGTGCTGAGCAATCCTGTGGGTAGCGGCGTTTATTTGTTATTTATCTCCGAACGGTCGCAAAGCCATTCCTGTAGTATAAATTGTACAAAGTAGCATACAGAAAAATAAGTTTCGACTTCACCATCTCAGAGAATTAGAGTTACGATCTCAGCGACCCGAGAAGTTCGAAAGCGTCGAACTTAGCGAATTATAACCGATCTTAGCTTTGCCAATAGGCCTGACTCGTCGAGTGAATTATCTCCGCCATCGATCCAATTAGCTCCGGTGAGTCTCACATAGCGAAATAAAATTAACCAAGTTTCTCTAGCAATTTCTACTCCCGTGGGCCCGAACCTACACTCGGTTTCGTGGTTTGCGACTTTGTCTGCGACTTTCCGGAGATAAATACTCCGGAGCGTCCCTTAGTGTTTGTTTCAGGCGTCAAGGTTTTGTTTTATTTTTCTAGGTCTTCCTACGGACTACCCTACGGCGTCTTACTCCTCCTTTCCCCCTCGAACTATTAAATACCCTTCAGTTGTCTCGGACCGCCTTCACCCATATCACGGGGTTTAGG